GTTTTGATATTAGTTTTACTTAAGTCTAATGTTGAGACTTAAAGAAGTAATTGAGATTTACTTAATTTTATGGATAAAATATTTTTTTTTTTTAATTTTAAACTTGACTCTTTTATGTTTAAATTAAACTTAAACATATAAAATGATGATTTTGGAGATAAATAAAAATATATAGGTATTTATTTGAAAATCATCTTTGAACCATTTGGTTTGAATTGTTATAAAAATAATTTTAAGACTTTGGAACAATTTAGATTTAATTCATTATTTATATATAAAATTTTCTTAGAAAATTTCAAATATTTTTCTTTAGAGCACATTTTAATTTAAATTATTTTTTAATAAAAAGTTTTCTTTCTATCTTAGATATTTTGTAATATTCTTCTTTAGAGCACATTTAAGTTTGAATGATTTCTAAGAAATTCTTTCTTTCTTAGAAAATTTCAAATATTTCCTTTAGAGCCCATATTAATTTTGATTATTTTTATAGAAAACTTGCTTTCTTTTTTTTAAAAAAAATCAAGTATTTTCTTCCTAATTTAAATTTAAATGGTCTTATCTTTGGCTCATAAACTTGTAAACACTTATTTAATTTTATAGAAAACACACCTTTTTTTGGTTCTTCAACATAGCTTTTCCATAAAATAACATAAACACAAGAATTTGCATGATATTTGGATAAGTAATATAAGTACACAAGTTGTATGATTTTTTGATAAACACATAAAACTACAACTCACATAATTTATGGATAAACACATTAAGCTACCACTTGCAAAAATTTTTTATGAACACATTAAATCACAACTTGCATAATTTTAAATAAACATTAAAACATAACTTGCATGATTTTTGGATATGAAAAATAAACACACAACTTGCGCGATTTTTGGATAAGCACATTACACCATAACTTATATGATTTTTGGATAAACATATTAAATAAACAATAGCTTGCATGTTTTTTTTTTTTTTTTTGATAAGCACATTAAACCATAAACTTGCATAATTTTTTTGATAAGCACATTAAACTATAACTTGCATCATTTTTTAGATAATCAACATATGCACACAACTTGCATAAAATTTTAAATAAGCAATATGAGCACACAACTTACATGGAATTTTGCATAACTACTTTAGCACACAACTTGCATGAAATTTTGTACAAGGAATTAAGACATACCTTTCATGAAATTTTACACAATGACTTGAGAACATTACTTGCATGGAATTTTGTAAATGGACTTAAACATATTCACATAAACATCACACAAGTTTAAATACCTTAAACATGAGTTCAAATCATGGGATACACTATACACATGCTCATGTACTTGTGTTTTGGCAAACCAATCCATGAAACTTAGTTAATATACATATGAAACCTTTTATATTGATAAAATAAACCAAATTGAAGCAATCATAGGTTAGAAGTTATACATTACTTAAAGAATTCTCACATTAAATAATGTTTGTGAATTTCAACCCAGGTAAAAGATGAGGAAGTGGTGAGCGTGTGGTGGAGGTTTGGTGGTAGAAAAGAAAAGGACGAGGAGAGATGGTATGTGGTGGTTCTTGGCTAAGGGAAGAAAAGAAGGAAGAGAGGTGAATTATGGAGCTATTTGACCAAGGGAAGAAGAGAAAGAAGATAACTGGGTGTACAATGGTTTTCGACCAATTAAGAAAAGAGAGGTGTATGTAAGTATGTGTGGTTTGACCATGAGAAGAATGGAAGATGAGTGTGCGTGCGTGTGTGCATTTTGGCTTAAGGAAGAAGGAGTGAGAGTGTGTGTATATTTGTGTTTCGACCATGGGTAGAGGTTGTGAGTGCGTGTGTATTCTTAGCCTAAGAAAGAAGGGAAGAGGAGAGTGTGTGTATTTTAGCCTAAGGTAGATAGGAACATGAAAGTGTTTGTAAGTTAAGGCTTTTGACCAAAAGAAAAGGAAGAAGAGGAAGGGGATAAAGTAAGGGTTTTCTGTCATGAAAAAAAGAGTAAGAGCAGGGAAGAAAATTAAGGTTTTTTTGTGATGAGAGAAACAAAAGGAGGAGGGGAGAAAATTAAGGGTTTTAAACAATTCGGAAAGAAAAAAAAAAGCAGAGGAGGGGAGAAATTTAGGGTTTTGGCCATGAGAAAAATTAGAGGAAGAGAGAAGAAAATTAGGGGTTTTCGTCCATGGGAAAAGAAAAGGAAGAGAGGAGAAAATTAGGATTTTCAACCATGGAAATAAGAGAAAGAGGAGATGAGAAAGTTAGGATTTTTGTTCATGGAAAAAGAGAAAGATGGCAGGAGAAAGGGTTTTCAACCATGGATTGGAGAGAGGAGGATGAAGTTTTGGTTTTTTCTCGTCAAAGTAAAAAAAATTAGGAAAATATGATGTTCAAGTCCGTTGTAGTCAAGATGGTCTATATCTTAAAAATATTGAAGTCAAAGTATGAGCCCCACCCTATGAAAGAGAACTTTGGTGATTTTTTTATGAAATTTTTTTATAAATTGTAATTATTTTAATCTCTTATTTTTAGCTCATTTTTATCTCAATTTTGGTTTGATGTTGATTTAGGTCTAATTTGAGGTGTTTTCATGATTATTATTATGATTATGCTTATTATCATTCAAATTATCATAACCTTGATTAACCTTAAACGAAATTCAATTTGAGTATGGAAGGACTCATTTGAAAGTTTTCAATGATTTGGATGTACTCGCTCAGTTTATTTTGAAAAAAAATAACACTTGAAGAAAAATTTTTAGATTAATGTCATTTTTATGCATGAACACTCGAAATAAAATGTTTTACATAAACATTATATCGTCAAACTCCCTTGCATGTTTTTCATGTATGATAATGAACATCAAGTAAATTTTATAATGAAATTTCAAGATGTGCGATGATCTGTGGATAAAATGATAATTTCTAGGTGTGTTTGGATTAAAGTGATTCTTAGTTCAATTTTAAAGTTTAGTTAAGATTGGTTATATTTGATTCGATTTGAATTTGTTAAATTTCAAATTTTATTCGTTAGATTCTAATTTTAGATTTAAATTAGGGTTCTCATATTTTAGTTTAAGTGGAGTTTATGTTCTGTCTTATTCGAGTTTATTTCAAGCATCTAGTGACACTAGGAAAATGATTCTAGGTCTAGATGAGATTGAATATAAACCGAGGCAAAGTGTTGAGTAAAAAGTAAGGTCAACAAATAATGATAATACTAGGTTAAATTTATCATGAGCACAACCCTACCAACCATATTACATAAATATGGATAAAAATTCTTTCCAAGGTTCTTCTTCAAAACCCTATAGAACTATCATGTTTTATTGAATGAAGCTTGATGATAGATGCACGAAGAACTATCATGAACCTAGTATTAAAGGAAAACAGAATATGGGTTCAATTTTATTTTTTATTTTTACTTTATTTTATATTTTGACTTGAAACAAAACATGTTTGACATATTTAATTAAGATATGATTATTTTTAAAAACACATGAAATATATTTTGACTGTTTTCAAAAATATATTACTTTATTTTTAGAAATAAAAAAAATATGTAAAAAATATACTAAATAAACTTATTATTTTTAAAAAATGAACTCCAATAAGCTATCACAACTCTAAAAAATGACAAAATATAAAAACTCTTAAATCTTTTTATAAATTGCGGGATGATATAAAAGATTATGGAATATTGAAAATCTAATTTGTACAATGTTGTAATACCAATTTTGCTAAGTAATAGTGATTTGATTTTTTAGATTTGACTTTAGACTCTAAAAGAATAACTAAATGATATAATTCTCTTACATTGACTCGTGTTAATGATAAACAACTATAACCGGTCGTGAACCCAAAAAAAATATTTAATAGATATAAATAAAGTAATTTTTTTATTAAAAAATAAATTAAATTTCTTTTATTTAAAATATTAAACAACATTTCTATTTAGAAAAAGAATTTATATAACCAACCTCACTTAGTACTACTAAATATATATAATATATTATTATATAAATAATATAAATTTAGACACTAACCACATTGCCACATGAGATGTTATGATTTAAATTTAGACATAAATATATATAATATATTATTATATAAATTATATATGTAATATATTGTTATATAAAAAGTTATATAATTTTTTTTCGAGCCATTTCGAGCTGAACACGAGCGAACAAACCAACTTGTTGGTCGTGTTCGGCTCGTTTACATTTCGAGCTAAAAAAATTATTTGTGTTCGGCTCGTTAAACTTAACGAACGAGTCGAACACGAGCTATTTAACCATTCGAACACGAGCTGTTTATGAACAACGAGCCAAATTGACAGGTCTACTTAGTAGATAAATTTTTGTTGTTGTTATTGTTGTATGAAATAACATTTCTATTATATATAGAAATTTATAGGCATGCCTTCTTAGATCCGACCTTCCATAAAAGGTCTCTCGGGATTAGGGCTGTCAAAAAGCTCGTTGTTCGCGAACAGTTCGTGTTCGGTTCGTCAATGAGTTCGTGTTCGATTTGTTCGATAAGTAAACGAGACAAACGTGAACAAATTTTTTTCGTTCGGTTAGTTAAACAAACCAAACACGAACAGTGATGTGTTCGTTCGTGTTCGAATCGTTATTGTTTGAAATATAAAATAATATAAAATAATTATATATAAAAAAATTATTATATTTTAAAACATTAAATTTTATAAATTATAATATATAATAAAATAATAATAATAATATATTAATATACTATAGTAGTAATATACTAATATAGATATTGTATATTTATATAATATAAGTTATATAATTAATATATATAATATTATTTTTATATATTAATGTTAGGGATGTCAAACTGGCTCGTCGTTCGCGAACA